ATTTTAAATTCCAAAATTGACATAAAGGACTTAATCTCTTCTAGTTTCTGTTCTAAAAGGGAATGCCAGTGATCAACTGACAGGAATGTACAGCAAGTTGGTAATAAGCTCACGTCTTTAAATTTGGAAGATGGTTAGCATTAGATGACCAAGAACAAGGTGATGTCAATTTCCTCTGACTGTAGAAGAGGGGCCTGAAATCATGTCAGGTGCATACTTCCTAATAGACAAAGCAAAGCTCCCTCAATGCAAACTCACTGAAACCAGGAAACAATCTTCCTTGGTCTCCTTTAACCTAACAGGTAGTTTTGTTGAAAATCCTTTTCAATGACCTCATCGCAGGATGCCCACTCTCGGTATTATCGCATTAATTCGGAGTTCCAGCAACTCAAATCATCCTCAGCCCTACGTAAATCTGGAGGGGTTTCCTTTCCAAAAAACAACTAATGATTTGAAAAACAGTTGTATTTTCAGAAGTTTCTTATAAGTGAAAAAACGAGTATAGGAAAGTGCTCCTCCACCACCAATGTGCAGGTCCACCTGCATTCTTACCAGTAAATTAACACTTTCAAATGGAAACTTTCATCCCCAAAAGATGAATAAATGTGTAATAATCCACACAGAAAAGCCTTGTAAGATCTTTCTTGATAGGGATAACGTTGCCCATATGGAAACTGGCAAATGGAAAGACACTCTGTTTCAGGTAATAACAGTTTGAGGGGCACAAGGCAAATCGATAGCATGCAAGTTCACATACTGTGATACCAGTCCTACCTCACAGTTGGATACAATGGGTATTTCCACCATTGGGCAGCAATAATAACAGTATCTTGTGTTTTACAAGTAAATTTTAATGGGCACACAATTATGTCATTCAGTGGGGAGTACCAAAAGGAACTGATGCTGCAGCTAGTTACACTTGTGATCTCAATCACCACTTATGGGGATTTCTTTATTTTTTTAGGCTGGGCAGGATCTTCACAGAATGACAGTGTGCTAAGTTTTGCCTCTCTTGTTGGCTGCTGTGGGGTGCCCCTGGATCCACTCTCCTACTGTAAACAAAGACTTTGCTCACCATTGACGTTTGTGGGCGAATAAACTTTTAAATCGACCCGTCTGAAGAGGCAAAGCCATTAAGATGTTTATTTAGCAGAAGACCAATCAATTAACTGCCTTTTAAACAATCGGGCTACGGTGACTCATGGAACTGTGGCATAAAGGCCTGCCAAATCAATTCAAGGCTGGTGCTTCCGTGGTTTATGTTGTGCTCTGTGACGTTCCGAGCAGAGTCAATAAAGGAACATATTTCTGTCACTTTGTTCCACAGTGAGTATTCCACTGATGAGTGAGTAGACCTTCCAAACTTTAACAGCTCCACCTTAACAGCTCCAAGGGTAAAGCACCTGACTCTGCTGTATCATAGTCGTATCTACAAGTGACGACTCATCATTTGAAAAGCACCTGTCCTGTTGCTTAAAAGTATATCGCTGTATGTGGTATGAGCCCTAAACTGCTTGATTTTCTTTATATTTTATATCTGATATCCACATCAGGAATTCCTAATCGTTTCTTAACATCTCGGCTCACAGCAGCAACTCCTGTACATACTGCTTCTCAGGAATGAGGGAGGGCAGATGACGTCCACAATCTGTCTGCCCATTGGGTCATACAGTAGGTTATTCAAAGGCAAACGAAACAGGGTCCGGATGGGCCAGCTGGCACATCTCTTGCAGAAACCTGCAGGTACCCAGGAAGTCTCAAGGGTCAGAAGTTACAAAGAGATCATGATGCTTTTCCAATCAACCCATTTAGGAATTTCAGGAAATTAGTGGCGCTTGGACTAGGATATCAGTCCTAAAATATAATATTAACTGGAATAAAACATAGGTCCAGGTCTAAACTCCAGAATTAGAGAACTTCACTGTAATATTCAGGATGTACCCAATAAAACACTGAACAGGACATACTGTATGAACTTAATCTAATTTATTCTTAACTGAACATTTCAATTATTTCTTTGGAATTTGGAATTTACCATGCTTTGTGCGCATAAAATATTAATTGTCCAACCCACTGTATTGTCTTTCTGGTGAACTATTATTTTGTTCGTGAAATATCAAAACGCATAAATGCTAATGATCAAATTGTAAGTATTCTAAGTTCATTTCACCTCTGACGGCCACGACCACTCTAATCTCTCCATCTGTGTTCTCAAAGATGGTTTTCCGAACTCATACATCAGAAAGACTACCGAAACCAAACTTATCCTGCAGCTAGGATCACACCTTCCCCCTTATCTTAAAGACAGACTACTATTCTACTAAATTTTCTCCATTCATTGGAAGTTTCATTTCACACCTTTCTACACTTATCCTGACTTCACACCTCTTGATTGGCCTCTCTTTCTGTCCCCTGCTCCCACCTCTAACCCCTCCTCCCTCCCAGCTTTTGTTCTCCCACTACATTACCTTTGCCTACTGCCTTGTCTCTCTCACACCTGAAGAAGGCTCCACGGCCGAAACGTTGTGTTTTTTCTCTTTTTTTTTTTCAGCATGGAATAAACCTATTACTTGTTCCTTTGCAGCCTACGCATGCTGACGAAGCTACCCACCTGAACTACTAAATTCTAAGTACTATTAATTTCCTCTTTGACAATAACCCACACAATTCCTTCAAACGTGTAATGAAAAAAAGACAGCAAGAATATCTGATACCTTCAAGTTAACTTTAGTTAATCTGCATGTGATGTGACTCTAAAGGTCTTATCAAGCTCCACCCCTTTACTTTTTCATCTTATATTTCTGTTTTTGCTATACTGTACATAACATTAATTTTAATGTAAGGTAACAGGATTTATGGAATGGATCCATTGGAACCCTTGGATTCAGTGAACAGCTTCACAATGCTAATATAAAAGACTAATAAACCCTTTTTAAAAAAAAACAAGATTGCAAGCATCACTGTTTGCCAGGAAGCCAAAGGAGCCCTGCTTGAGAAATCTCAGTCCTACTCCAGCAGAGTTCTGCCAATTGTGGCTGTCCCTCAGGAAATCTTGGTCACACTCGGCTGGCAACATGACTCAGAATCGGCGTGCAACCTGTTTTCAGAGCAAGTGCTTTTCGTGGCTGAGCAGCCGCCTAAACTGAATTAAAATTTTTGTGAGGATTTGAGTTTACTTAAATATTATACACTTCAGCAGTTGATGTGCCACACCCTCTTTCGTCCCTTCTGTGAAAAGCGCTCTAACTCAGCGTGTTTTCCAATAAAAGAAGGTACAGTAAGTTATAAAAGCGGCTGTAACAGCTGCAGAAACACAGATGTCACATTTTCAGATTCTGCTCTACAGTATGTGGGCATTTTGCTTCCTTCCATCCCAGGAGGTATAAGGTACTTCATAAAACCACGGCACGACTCCAGAAAATGATTTCTCCTTCGTTCAACCGAAGGAAATGGAGAAACGAGGGAAGACACAGCAGGCAATAAACATAGACGAGATTCAACTTCACACCGGTTTTGTGAGGTAACTTCAAATTTACCGATAGGCATGAACACCGACAAAATAACAGATACCCTGGCCGACTGCTTCAACGAGCCAAGGAATTATATCTACAGTATTTGTGGTCTTACTGTAGCTGAGCAGCTGAAGGCAAGGGTCATGAATTAGGCAGAAATTCAGGTCTGAACACTGATGGAGGAGGGGGTTCCCTTACATAGCCACTGGATCCATGAAGTAAGCGAGGACCAAAAATCCCAGGAAACTGTACATGTGGACAACCTCCTCTGCATTCCTAAACAATTGCTCTCCTCGCCACACTGCTTATAACCCATCCCCTGCAAGTCTTTCAATTATCCCTTTTTTAAGGTCATGATAATAAAAGAAAGCTCCCCTCTCCTACTTATAACCTTCAAGAAAGGGGAGGAAACAAAAAACTTTTGAGGGTCAGTGGATATATTGTAGC